GGTGTTGATTGCAACAGCACAGTTGATATTTCTCCCCAGGATGGAGTCAAACCAAACAGGAACAGACCAGATGAAGCTACTATGAGAAAAAGCAGAGAGCAAAACGTTAGAAATTGAACTAACAAATTCTGCAAAGTGGGAGAATAGAGATAGAATGAAACAGAATGATGAAATGGGGGTCCCTATGTCCTCCAAAAGTCTAAACCTATAGCAGCATAACTATAGATATAGCTCAGGATAACCTGAGCCACATTGACTATAAGATTTATCAAAAAGGAAAGTTTTAAGCCTCCCCTTAAAAGTAGACAGGGTGTCTGCCTCACAAACTAAAATTGTTAGTTGGTTCCTCAGGAGAGGAGCCTGATAACTAAAAGATCTGCTTCTGTTGTAACATGTCAAAATGGGGAAAAAAGTTGAGATAGTGCAGTACTTAGTGTTTTCCCACACCCCTCAGCCACAGCTGAAACAAGGTGTTGAACACCAAAACCGATAAAATAACAAGGAATAAGTTAATAAAAATAATCCCACATTAATAAATAATCTAAAGAAATCAAATCCATTGATCTTTTTTATTTATATGGCATCAAACTCACAACACACTTTAAAAAGACAATTCAAGTATATCATACAGTCAGATTGGTTCAAAGTTTGGCATCTAATTAAAACTCTGGGGTTTTGCATCTAATTGAAAACCTCAAGGCACTGACTTTGCACGATTCGCTTCTCCTACATGCATTTGGCATGTGGAGATGTGATGTGTCTCAGTTGGTTTAAAGGTCAGAGAGTAAAAGCAAGTTTTCAGACAAGTTTTAAAAATGCACAGTGTAGGGGACTAAGGAATGTACAAACGTGGAGCATTTCAGTACTCTGGGGCCCCGGTAGTGAAGGCTGCACATCCTGAGTTACTGCAGGAAACTTCAGAAGCATGATTATATATGAGGACCAACTCCAAGAAACGTTGGATTGCAAGAACTAGGGTTATATGATACTCGATAAAGCATTGTTCAGGGCGGTGAAAGGAGGCAGTGTGAGGAAATTTCTATGGACGTCTACATTATTATCACAGTCTTGAGCAGTTTAAACTCTGGGTGGTTCTGAGTGCACAAGCAGACCTGTCTAACCAACTCTGGTCTGTATGTAAACTCCTCACTGTCCTTGATCAGACCACCTTCAAACTTCAGGAGTTCCACAGATGTGTCTCCTGAAGTGCTATCATTTGTGTACGTACAGGGAGAAGAGAGGTGGGGCGAGAACACAACCCTGAGGGGGTCCAGTTCATAGATGACTTTGGAAGAAACTACAGTAGGCAACCTCGAAAGACATCTGGTTACACTAGCTTTAATTTAGGTAAGTAAGAATGAATTTGTTGGTAAAATAAAATTTTGCAAAGCAGTATTTATGGTTCAGTTCATTGAAAGAGATTGCTACATTTGTTTTTGTTAAGGATTATTGTAAGTTGTATTTTTTCATGGATTAACTAAAGTGTAATTATGATTCATGAGTGATATTTAAAATGCTACTGTACATATGTGCTCTGGTCTGTGAGTATTGGTGTTGGGAATCTTTACCACTAAGGCAAGGATTCCACACTTATAGCTCACCACTATCAGGTTGAATGTCTGAGTGTGGTGTCATGTGATTAGAGTCCCCTATCTTGATAAGGTGCTTTATAAGTACAGGCCATTTATCATTGTTATGCCATTTATCCACGACCGCTAAGTCAGGTCGCAGCATGATAATGCACATCCCTATT